AAAAAAAAAAAAACGCTGACTGTGACGAAGAGAGCAGTGGAGCGAAGGATGCCTGATGCGTCTTTTCGTGGCCATGTAAACAATCAGACCCACCCAACATCAGATGGATAGCGTGTGGCATACCATTGCGATTATGTGAGGATGTAGAAATTCGATAGGCAGAGCGTGTTGCTCGCCTTGCTAACGGCTAGTGGGCGTCGTGTGGTAGAGAGTGACAACTGCGGGAAAGCAAACGACCGCTTGGATGACCCAAGAGGAGGGCGTCAGTGTTTGGCCATAAACATTGCTATTCTGTGACAGTTACGGGTGCCTAAATTGAAGAAGGATGACGACGAAAATTTCATTGATAATGGTGGAAGAGTGAACCGTAACGCTAAAATCGCTAAGCGAAGTTCAAATGCTTCATGCTCGTCTACTGTCTACAGTCTCCTAGGGATGCCAGTATTCGCTTACAGAACCTCAGAAAATTTAAGGAAGGTGGCAACATTACAATTCCCAGCTGGTAGCTGAGCATCATCTTCAGATTTGTTTGAAATAGGACACCGAACTGGTGCAGTGTAGCTCTGCTACCGGTTATATTAGTATTACTGTTGTTGCAATATCTTAGTATAAGCCAGTAAAATGGTTCAAGCAGTAGTCCAAAACGCCTTGTTGGTTTTGTGGAGAAATGCGTTATGTACGTGAGCGCTTGTATCAGGTTCGCACGTGCGCGCTACACAAAAATAAAAGATATAAGGAAGGATACTGCTACAAACATCAACTGTCTTACGCAAAAGAAGTCTGCTAGTTCCCCTAAATCTAAGCAACCCGGGAAGCTTAGATTTAATGGAATCCATAAGCTAGCATCTACGGGTTATTGGCGAATCTCGTCAATAATTAACCAGTTATACTTCAAATTGATGCGGATTGGGATCTGTTCCTCATCTTTCTCTGGACATGGTTTTTCTGTTACCTGTTATTTAGTTATCTTTGACAACGGTAACAGCGTGGGAGCAGAAAAATGACTGCATTACAAGATTGGGAGGCGTGTGAAACTGGAGTTGATCTTGAGAACTAGCCTTTATGGACTCACTCCTTTCATTGTACTTGCACCGGTTTTCGCACGTATGTGTCGGTTCGCATACTTTCTTTTTAAGCAGCCTCCTTCTCCTGCCTGCTTCTCGTTTGCCTCGTATTCGGCACTTCAAGAATTATGGTTTTCGTTTCTAACTGTCCGTCGTTTATCAGCATACTCGCACATCTATTTACATTTCTGCATTAGTTGCATCATGCATTGCAGACAAAGCTGAAGACGATCGTGAGTCAATTTTTCGCTTGTGGGACCTTACACCTCTCTGTGGCAATCTTCTTGAGGATTCCACAGCTAATCCATTCACTCTGAGTGTCGGCATACTCACTTATAAGGTAAACAGTTCCGTTTATTCACTTGTTTTCGATTTTGCAGTTTACTTTAGTCAGGTTGTAGAGGTTTAATTGGAACTGTCTTTGAACTACGGACAGACTGCTCCAGTTTCATGTGTTATTTTGCCCATCGCTGTGGTACACATATACTGTGAGAATATGGCAACCTGTATGTGTATTTTGAAAAAGCAGCTGGGTTTCTTTTCCTTGACCATGGCCTATACGTGTGGCCCTTCTCGTCAGCTGCTGCTTTCCTCTCAACGTCTCGTCATCTTATCGCATGTAGAGCAGCAGAACTTTTGCAGAATCTGTCTTGAGTGTAGTCTGCTGAATAAGCAAAGCGATCAGCCTGAGCAAATAGAATTTAAAGGTGACGTAAAAAATGAGGAGAAGGAAAAAGAAGAGAACGAAACGAAAAAAGGCAATCGAAGTATTAAAATATTTGTAATTGGTAAGAAATGTTTCGGTCCAATGTCAGGCATCCGAAGAGGTGTGCTTTTGCTGTGCTGTCTGCATCCTTTTCAAAGATGGCCTCATGAACGTGTCCGGTAGGCCATCTTTTAGTTTGTAAGCACTTGTAATTTACTGTGACTGTACGGTATCTAATCCATATTTCATTCATGATAGTGGGCTGGATTTTTGGGGTACAGACAGTGGTGCTAGTGAAATGCTGGGTGCACAATCCTGACTAGTTAACTTCCGTTGCTTGCCATCTCCATTACGTTTCCGAGTCCCCTTTTTTGGAGTGGTCTACTTGATGCAGAAAAAGTGCAGATTACTGTTGGCAAGGTGACGAAATTTTTACTGTGCTAATGAAATCGATGGATTTATTCAATCCCAGTAAACTTGATCTCTAAGTCTTCGCGTGAGCATAGAGCAATTTTATTCACCACACGTATTTTTAGAAAATAGCACCTAGTAACATAGGAATAACAGAAACACGACAAGTACTGCGCTAGTGAAATTAGCATTGAGATATTGACGATGTGCACCGTCTTAAGGAGTTTCTCTTAGGTTCCGTTTGATCACTTTCTAAAGAGAAAACAATATGAGAAGTTATGCCGCAGATCATCGAACGTTTCTTTTTGCAGGTGGCACGTAATCTGATGCGTCGTTCGGTGCAGAAACGTCCCAAACGTATCGCAAATGCTGCATTTCGGTTATTAAACGTGTGCTTGGGTATTATCGACCATAAAAAGCATCCACAGGTTATTTCCTGTTCCTTTTTATTATGGTTACGATTCTTAGCATGCAAATTGCCCTTACCGATTTGCTTTTTGCTAAAATTAGACTGCGTGTCTCACGTTTGCCCAATTCTTTTAAAATTTCGTCTGTCGATGAGCGTCCTGCCCTCTTTGCTTCTCTGTTTTCCTTATATGCCTGCTCAGCTCTTCCAAATGGATTTTTTTAAGGCAACTTTTTTGCTGCTTTTTTGTGGCTTCTGTTTCCAGTTTTAATTCCATTGGGAGCAAGATGAAGCGAGCAGCTTTCTTGATGCACAAACATTCCTTTTAGGTAGTAGCATGTGTGTATTATTTGTTGGCCAATCTATATCTCTCTTATGGATGTGATGGGGTGAAACGCACTGACATCCAGGAGGAAGAGTTAGAACGAGCTGAACCGCTGTGGGCCTATGATGACGAATGGCAACGTGAATATGGCAAAGATTATGCTCATTATGCTGATATATCGGTGAGAAAGTACCTTAGTCATTATAATTAGAAAAGATGCAGAAAGACAGGAGTTGAAAATATGCGACGTCTGCCTTGTTTATTGGTAGACAAAATGCAGTGTGCAGTGGCGATGAGTAATGAATTTGGGCACGCTACGATGTGTATGAGTCCTACAAAGATTTGCATTATTAGACATGCGTAGGTAGTTGTTCCATATAATTTGGGCTTGCCGGCAATTAGATGCGAAAAAGATTCTTTGAGCAACTGTTTTCCAAAGTCAGATAGTGACTGAATATACTCTTGTTTTTTCGACACCAGTATAATACGTGAACGATGCAATAAATAAAATTGGATCGTATTTGATTTTACGGATTTTGATCTAATTAAGATGGATGAAACTGCTTTCGTTCATGGAAGTACTACGCGGTCACTTCCTTGGACTCGATCTGATATCCTTTTTTATGCGTTTTGTGCTGTGTAACAGCAGTACAAAACGCATATTGTCACGGGGTTGTCTGTG